TATCAGAGCGAATACCTTTCATCCCCCCGTCCTTGTTTGAGGCTTCCAAGGGAAGTGGGAAAAAAGCGAAAAATGATGCTGAATAACTGTAATATCGCGGCAGTGATGAAGTGAGACACGGAGCACTTCCACAAAGAGGCGGTACTGTTCAAAACTCTTCTTTATAAAATAAGAGCAAATTTCCAAATAGACTCACCACGTACCCGCCAGCACGCCTCTAATATCTTCAACATACTCAAGCATCCACTGGAACAGCAACAGGTTTGCCGAATGCAAAGCGATGTGTAAAGGGAGTTTCACCTGAAATCAACCAAGCCGTTTCCCTCTAAAATATTACGCAAAAATTAAGAGATACCCGTTTCGTTCTTCGATTCCACATTTCCGCCGTACTTCATGATCGACTCAAAACACTGCCGGTATTCCTGCTCAGTCATGCCATCCTGCCGGCCATCTTTGGGATCACGAAGACGAATTTTAATGCCGGCAAACACATGCATTATTGAATTCCCCATACTGTCCGCTATTGAGCAGTCTGCTCCACTAAATGACGATCCTTCAGTAAAGGGTCAGCTTGACGTAATCGCATAACCTGTTGACCTACCGTGACAGCAGGTACTGTATTTGTTCAGGCAATTCACTGTGCGTTTCCTCGTTAGCATAGCGAAGCAGCGAAGAGAGCAGTGTAACTCCTTCCATGTCCTTTCCGTTGATGTCAACCAAGGAAGCCTTCTCTTCAAGTAGCCACCGGACGATACCGTAATGACCTGAATGCCATTTTCTCGAAGAAAAAACCAATAAAATCAAGGGCCTTTTGACTAGAATTTGCTCCTGGGGTGGTACGAATTCCTACAATGAAGACCAAATTTGTGGGAAATAAAATGGCGTGCGTCCGCCCAGAGGCACCTGCGAAAAATCATCCTTATCATCAAATTCTTTTGGAATTTGTCGCAGGCGACAGTTACACCTATCACATTCAAGCGGTACAAAACGTCCGCTGTGGGCGCTAACAAAACCTTTCCAGGCCAAGTCACCCTTGCAGTGGTTTTCCGCGAAATGCAAAATATATGAGCATGTTAGCAATTGTGAATTCATTTCAAGAGCTCAAAATGCCTTCGGAGAAACTCTGGGCGGACTAGTTGAAAGTTAGAACATGTAAGCCTCGAATCTTCTAACCTTTCAAGTAGGCGATAGAAAGCGGCGTGAGCTTCCAATCGTTCTCCTGCTTCAGGCAGCTAGGATCCACGCTTGCAAGCAACCGCAGGCATTCTATCCATCCGTAGGCGGCAGCATAATGCGCAGGCGTATTTCCGGACGAATCACCCTGTCAGAAGTGAGTTCAAATGAGTTTCTCAAATTGAGTGAGTAATGTCAGATGTGTTACCTTCAGTAGATCAGCACCTTTCGCCAACAGCATAGCAGCGCAATGCTCCTGTCCGTTCAGTACAGCATGGGAGAGAGCCGTACGTTTCTTGAGATCTCTAGCCATAATCAGAGCGCCGTGCTGGATCAGTGCTTCGGCGATTGGCAGAAATCCAAGACTGCAGGCGATCTGGAACGACGCGTAACACTAGGGCATTGAGCAACTTCAAGCCTTACTGTAGTAATTGCAAATACCACCTACCATTAGAGGTGTAAGCTTGTTGTGGGCACTGGACGTGGGATGGTCAACAAGTACCGTCTTGTGGGCAAGGAGAGCAGCTACGGCTTCTGATCTGAAGCACAGAGATTAGGAGGTACCCTTGCTTACTTGTTTATTACATAGGCACAACCTCATATTGAGAAGAAAAAAAGGAGAGAGAAACAACAAAAAACGGAACAGAAA